ATCAACACACCCACATTTGAATTATTTTATACTTTAGATTTCATAGCCATATTTGCATTTGTAAAAATATTTATATACCCAAATTTTCAATTATTTTACATGCCCAACTTTTATTTTTGTTGTAAAGAAGTGCAACTTGAAACAACAGTATATCATATAAAGAGAAATAAAGATTAAAGTTATATCATGAATATTGGTCATGATTTGTAAAACTCAGAACTGTCAAGTAAATTTAAGACACGATTCAAAATGTTCAGAATATGTCAAGCCATACTGAGAAAAAATAAGAATGTCGAGAATATGTCGAGAAATTTCAAGACAGTATTCAAATGTCAAGAATTTGTCAAGAAATTTTAAGACCATATTCAGAATGTCGAGAATATGTCGAGTAAATTTCATACAAATTTAATATAAATGAGAATTTGTCAAGAAAAATTAAGACACAAGTCATACTTTTGGAGAATGTCGAGTAAAAGTTCATGCAAATTAAGACAAAAACTGGTCTTTTCAGACTTTTAGACTTTTGTAGTGGTGACTACTTGAAATAAAAGTCAACTTTTTTTGTAATGTTAATTTCTTTCTTATTATGAGTAATAGGATAACTATATTTAGTATGTGCGTACCTTGCAAGGTCCTCATACCCGTCAGACAATTTTCATTTGAACTCGACCTCATTTCATGGATCGGTGAACAAGGTTAAGTTTTCGTGGTCAAGTCCATATATCAGATACTATAAGCAGTAGGTCTACTATATTTGGTATATGGAATGATTGTAAGGTGTACATGTCCAACTAGTAGGTGTCATCTGACCTTGACCTCATTTTCATGGTTCAGTGGTCAAAGTTAAGTTTTTGAGTTTTGGTCTTTTTTTCTAATACTATATGCAATAGGTTAACTATATTTGGTGTATGGAAATATTTTAATACATGTCAGTCTTGTAGGTTTTATTTGACCTTGACCTCATTTTCACGATTAATTTCTCAGTGTTAAGTTTTTGTGTTTTGGTCTGTTTTTCTTCAATTATCAATTATAAGCAATAGATCAACTATATTTATTGTATGGAAGGATTGTAAGGTGTATATGTCTATCTGGCAAGTATCATCTGACCTTGACCTCATTTTCATGGTTCATTGGTCAATGTTAAGTTTTCATGCCCAGGTTAAGTTTGTTTCTTAGATACTATAAGCAATAGGTCAACTATATTTAATGCATAAATTTTGTAAGGTGTACAATGTACATGTCTGTCTGGCAAGGTTCATCAGACCTTGACCTCATTTTCATGGTTCATTGGTCAATGTTAAGTTTTCTTGGTTAAGACTGTTTCTTAGAAACTATAAGCAATTAAGGTCAACTATGTTTGGTTTATTGAATGATTGTAAGGTGTACATGTATTTCTCGTTTGGTTTATCTGACCTTGACCTCATTTTCTTGGATCATGTTAAGTTTATGTGTTACTTGTAGTAAAGCTTTATATTTACAGTCAGGGGACTTACTTAAATGAGTGATTTTCTAAATCACTGATTCAAGTAACATTATGTCCACAAAGGTTGGAAGTAAGAGTAGTCTTTCTTTAATAATCACCTATTTAAGTAGTACAAATAAATCACTAGACTAAGTGATTTAATCTTATTGTAGCTTTAAATATACAATACTAATGATCCAGGGGCTAATTATGTTACTAAATTTACCAGAACCAACATCTGTGTTGATAGGATGACTGGGTCATATCAGGTGATGACCTTGTACTGAATCTGGGATAATGACATAAAAATCACTTGTTCAAGTATCATACCTCTATTTTCTTCCAAAAAATCACTTCTTTAAGTATCATTATTTTATATTTTAATAACCCCCACTAATTTCAACACCCCCGAACAGTGAAATTTTGATGGCGAACAGTAGAATTTTATTACATAATCTGTAAGATGAAACCTTGAATTTTACAGGAAAAATACTCCCACTGCTGGGAAAAATCTGTTAAGAAAGTATCAGTTCATTATGTGAAGCCTTTATTACACTGTATTATAGCATTTTTTCAACTAAAATAGAATTTACAGCTAAATGATTGCATCTAAGGCATAAACCTTGCTATTTAAAAGGAGCAAAAGGTTCATTTTTTTTCAATTTTACTAATGAAAAAATATTATCTAAACCTATGTGTTTAAAATTTTGGTAAAACTAAAAAATCACAATTTGTAACAAAACTTTGAATTTGCTACTTAAATAAGTGATTTAAAAATCACTCATTTCAATAAGTCCCCTGACTGATTTAGGACTATCAACATAAAATCAATGGTTAGTAAAGAGGGCGAGACATTTCAGCGTGTGCACTCTTGTTTGACACTTAAACTGGTACAGTAGACTGGAAATATAATTTTGTATTACATCAGGTAATCCAATTACCCTATCAGTCGTGTTCAGGTATAGATTAAAGTAGGATTAGGGCAATTAATTCCTTGGTGTTGGGAGTGAGCTTGCTATCACAGTAAACATTTACGCGATTTTGGGAGAGATTATTCCTAAATTCCTCCCAACATTTTGGGAGGAATATCGGAGTTTCTCAGAGTGACTCCAACATTTTCCTTGGTGTAGGGTGTGGGAGAGCTGGTCAGTTTGAATGGTATTGTATATAAGGGGGGAAACCAGATTCCATACAACAAGCCTTTATGTAACAATTCTAACTTAAAAACCAACCTATTTAGTTCCAGTGGTTTTTTTTGCTTAAGAATTTGTGTATTTAAAGGTAATTCATGATTTTGGGATCACAGATTATCAAACCTACAGCTACAATCTTTGAAAAATTTTCACGTGACCAACGAGAAAAAGAAAGGCGCAACACATTATGGGAGCTGATTTATTCAAATGACCCTTGGTCAATATGAATATATAATCTAACACCTCGTTTATTTACGATGCAAATACTCTGAATGGCTGAGTGTGTTCCAATCGTTATCATGGTTGGCTACTTAACGTTGAATGCCGAAATAAGCATAAGATTTTGCATACTTTAGTCTCAAGGCTGTGAAGTCTCTCGTAACTTGACGTCCATTTGAAAATAAAAGTTAAAATACCGGAATCAGTGGGTCACTGTGAAAACTGTCCAAATATGAGAGAATAAAGGGTGGCAGGTAGATGAAGCTTACATAAATCATCAAATGAAATGATAAATGAACAAATAGAGGCCCGATTTATATGGATCCAATGCCCTCAGAATCAACTGAAAACGGGCACTGAAAACAGTTCTTCAAACATTTTGTCAAATATTTTTCTGGTGTCAAAATTATTTTATCTATCTATCTATCTACATTTGTATCTTCATATTTCCGCACTCAGTCACAACAGGTTGGGCTCAAGTCAGGAAAAGTGGGGTATTCCCTGTTTTCAGGGATCATCCCAGTTTTCTGGTGTTAAAAAACCCCAGTTTACAGGGACTTCCTTTTTCTATTTCAATTCATGGCATGAAATTTACAAAAGCGCATGTTTTTACTGTATCAGTAGTATTTGTAAATACTTTAAGTATCTCAGGAACAACAAAACATGAATAAGTGAAGCCTTGTTTTTTTCTAGAACTCAAAAACATACAAATCTTTTGTTTAGGAATCAGTTGATCAAGCTGCATGCTCCAGGTGAAACTGATCATAACTGAATTATGTTCACTTCTATTGAAATTTTCTATTCATTGAATTTAAATGCCTAAGTGATTAACTTATCTTTTTGTCTTCTCATAATTGATGATCGAGGTATGAATTGGTGAACAAAGGAATAGTTTTGTTGTCAGTTGAGCATCAAATAAGACCTGATAAGAATTATAGTTATCTCGTACCATTGTAAACTCGTACCAATGTCAACTCGTACCACTAAAAAAAACTCGTACCAATGCAAACTCGTACCACTGCTAACTCGTACCACGGTAAATTCATACCATTGTAAACTCGTACCAACTTATTTAAATGCATTCAAATGGTGTTTAATGATGAATATATACTTTAATTTCACTCAATACCTCTTAAGTCTGTAAAATGTATATAATTTGAAATTACAATGACCAATTTGTAGCTACCTATATTTCCGCACTTTCTGTGTTGCCATTTAGAACATACATCACACTCTATTGCTTCTTGTCGGGGTCTAACCAGAGAGTGGCACCATATACAATTGTCGTCTTCCATTTTGGTTATGAGGAACCTCACAAACATGCCCCATTTTATGAGGAAAGTGGGCTTTGAGACAACTCATGTCAGCTTATGTTTTGATGATCAGGAATTTCATTTAATAATAAACATTATACATTTAATTCCAAGCTGTTAAATTATATAACAACAATCAAAATCTAATAATATGATTAAACAAGTTGATTTTTGTCTAAGTTTTCATTAAAATCTGGTATGAAATTCAAAGATATTTTAAGTTTTTGTATAAAGCTTAAAAAAAATAATCATAAAACATTCGTATTTTTGTCTAAGTTTTCATTAAAATCTAGTATAAAATTCAAGTATTTCAACTTTTTTTATTAAGTTTACCAAAAAAAAAATCATAAAACATTCGTTTTGAATATATTTTTAATGGTACGAGTTTGCAGAGGTATGAGTTCTGATTGGTACGACTTCCCAGTGGTACGAGTTTACGTTGGTACGAGTTAACTTTTTTGGTACGAGTTTACGTGGTAAGAGTTTACAATGGTACGAGTTAACTTGCTTCCCCTGAAATTAGCTTGATTTTTGAACTTATAAAAACACTTGCTATCATATAACATTGTTATCACATGTAGAAGGTGCGCTTTTGTAGATTTCATACCATAAATTGACAAGGAAAAAAGAAGTCCCTGTTTACTGGGGGTTTTTAACACCAGAAAACTGGGGTGTTCCCTGAAAACAGGGAATACCCCAGTTTTCCTGACTTGAGCCCAACCTGTCACAACTTTGACTGACAATATCACAATCTCAACTCATGTCATGATCTGACCTCATACTGACAATTTTCTATTATGTTAAAAGCATTACCATATAACTGCTTAACACCACAGATATAAAGAATAGTAACAAATCTTTCTTCATTTTCATGGCTAATTATTCCTGTTGTTATTTTGCCGTCGTCAGATATGGGCTGATCATGTGAGTCAACCAAGATTACAAATTCAACAAAACGAATTATAAACATTTTAATTATCAAAACTGTTTTTGATTTCAATAAATCTCCATTTAGACGTTAATGACGTAATATATTATCTTTATGCCTTGAAATTAAAACAATAAAGAAATAAATCAGATTCGTTTGATTTTTTTCTTACTTTTGATTCTGAAAAATGGCTTACCAGTATGGACAGGTACTTCCTGTTTTATTTTTCCCTTAAAAACTTATTTATTTCAAATTTCAATTACATATTTGAACACAGATATGTAATGATAATTAAAACACGCCATTTGAAACAGAAAAAATCATCTTGTGTGATAGATAACATTTTTAAATGCTTCAAAACTATTGCTTCGATTTCAGGTATGACCAAAAACCACAAACAGGGTTGGCACCACTCATATCATAATATATATTATCACTATTTACCAAACATTTTTTTTCTACGTTCAATGCTTCGGGAAGACATTTGAAATAAGGAAATGTGAAATGATTGCCAATTAGACAACCACCAAAGATCAAATGGAGCAATGACCACAGACACAATGTCAACAACAGTCAACACCGCTATAAATTAATATAAATCTTATCGTTATTTGTCCGCCTTTACTGGACATCACAGCGGTTCCAGACCTGCCAACTATCCTGATTTATGGGGGATATCCCCCATGAGAGGTGTTGACCTGAATTTTGAAATTCTTTATTATATAAACTGATAACCTTAAAACAGGCATTCAAATGAGTTAAAAGGGTATTTAAACAAATATATACTCATTCAAACAATATAATAGTAGATTAAAGACATGTATGACAATATAAGAGGCGCATTAGGTCCTCTTGCGCTTAAAATCCCCCATGGAGATTTTGAAAAGTTGGCACGTATGCGGTTCCGGTAAAATTTTGACGTCACAATACAAAATATCTGACGCCACAATGGAAAAGTGATTGTTGTATGACATCAATATTTCAAGCGGGACAGATTCTCAGGTCACAGCCGGGAATAGCGATAAGGTGTATTTATAAATGAGGGTACATGTAGGAATGCATCAGGCATCAAACGGTCATTTTACCGTTACTCATTAGTGTAAAATTGGTTCAAATTTTACCGTGATTTGTCAAAATATCTTTATCTTTATTTGTCAGAGGTCTCAACATGCTCAAATAATTATCGATACTGTTATTTTTGGAAAAAATTAACATGATTAAACGTGATTCGTCAAAATCAGTCGATTACTTTTATTGTCATAAAGAAAGTACATTTTATCGCCATACACCAAAATTTATAGTTTACGTCAATTGGCAAGAATTTTTACCGTTATATGTCATGATAGTACCGCCATTATCACCCTCATAAATTGTAATTCATTCATCATGTTTTTAATCTGCACCGAACACTTTGATAAAAAGTAAATATTTTTATTGTAAAATCACAAATTAAAGCAACCCTGAACTCAGATGAACTATCCTTTATTGATAAACAGAAGAAGAAGAAGATGAAGTAGATGTAATAACTATACCGGCCAAATCATTTTGCAAATGGGGAACACTATTCCCCAAATAAGTAACAATCCCTGATGAGGGATTGTTTTCTCATTTGGAGAATAGTTTCCAATTTGGCGGGTTGTCCCCAACCTGCTACATGCAACAGTAGTCCTTACTAGTATGGCCTTCTACAAATAGACAATCAATACCGTATAGTCAGCTGTAAAAGGCCTGATATGAAAAATATGAAACAGTTCATTTGAGAAAAGTAACGGATAATGTATAACAAAGCAATGTACCAAAATCAATTATGATGGACATGAGCCAACGACAACCACTGGTCTACAGACTCCTGACTTGGGACTGGCACACAAAGAATGTGGCACGGTTGTTCATTTGAAAAAGCATACTGGTAAGAGGTCTGGAAAAATTATGGTCATGACAGAAGGGTCACCAGCTAGGATAAACATGATTTATTTTTATAGCACTGTGGTAAGTGTGCGATATTACACTGGTTCTCATTTCTCGTTTTGAAACGTTATACATGTATCCTTCATCCCTTAAAATCGATCACCTTTTAGATCCTCATTTTTTCTTGATTACTGTTGTCGATGATCATAATGACATTATTTCTTCTTAAAATCTATGAACAGAAATCAATGGCCTATATGATTCAATTCAAATGAAGGTAGTTCCGAGATATGGTAGTTATGCCCCCGCCGTAGCAAAGGGGCATTAAGTTTTACCCTTGTCCGTCTGTACGTACGTACGTCTGTACGTCCTAAAGTTGGTTTCCATTCTCTAACTTTAGTTTGCCTCAATCAAATGTTATGAAACTTATACACAATGCTTATTACCACTAAATACAGATCAAGTTTGAATTTTGGGGGATTCACTTTTACCGTTCTGGAGTTATGCCCCTTTACAAATGGGTTTCCGTTCTCTAACTTAAGTTTGCCTCAACCAAATGTTATGAAAATTATGCACAATGCTTATTACCACAATATACAGATCAAGTTTGAATTTTGGTGCCGTCACTTTTACTGTTCTAGAGTTATGCCCTTTACAAATGGAAAAATTGCTAAATTGCTAAATTTTTCATTATTTTTTCTAAATATCAAGTAATTTTTAAAATTGGAGTTATCTTCCTTTGAACATGATTATAGTTGAATCAACTACAATCAATGCTTTATACAATGAAATGTTTAATTTTGCCTTCCACTGATAAATTAAACCCTTCATTCCTTAAAATCTTTCAAAGTCTTCTTTGAAAATTGGAGTTATCTTTCTTTGTGCATAATGGTAGTTGAATCAACTACAAACAATACTTTATACAATGCAATATTCAATTTTACTTCCTACTGATAAATTAAGCCAATCTTTACCATTCAGTGCTTACAAAACCAGTCTAGGGTTATGCCCCTTTACAAATGAAAAAATTGCTGAATTTTTTCGTTTCCATTCTCTAACTTGAGTTTGTCTTAAAACTAAATGTAATTTCTAAAAATATCAATGTCATTATTCAAGTAATTTTTAAATTTGGAGTTATCTTCCTTTTTCCATGATTATAGTTGAATCAACTACAATCAATGCTTTATACAATGCAATGTTTAATTTTGCCTTCCACTGATAAAACACAGATCAAGTTGAATTTGGGTAAGTGTCACTTTAACCATTATTGTGTTATGACTCTTTATAAAACGAAAGATTGCAAAATTTTTAGTTTCCATTCTGTAACTTAAGTTTGCCCCAACCAAACATTATGAAACCTATACACAATATTCATTACCACAAAACTAAGATCAAGTACAATTTTTTTGTTTCTGTTCTCTAACTTTAGTTTGCCTCAACCAAATGTTATGAAACTTATACACAATGCTTATTACTACATAATACAGATTATGTACGAAATTTAGTGGTGTCACTTCTACCATTCTTGAGTTATGTCCCTTTATAAATACAAAATTGCTGAATTTTTTGTTTCCGTTCTCTAACTTTAGTTTGTCTCAACCAAATGTTATAAAACATATATAGAGTTATGCGTGTTTACAAATAGAAAAATTGCTGAATTTTTAGTTTCTGTTCTCTACTTAAGTTAGCCTCAACCAAATGTTATGAGACTTACACACAATGCTTATTACCACAAAACTCAGATCAAGTTCAAATTTTGGTAGCGTCACTTTTACCGTTCTTTGTTATATCTGTCAGTCATACAGAATCCTTTTTTTTTTGCATCTTGGCTGCACATGTGTAGTATTGGTTAAAATTGTTGAAAATACTTAAATGCCTTATCATTTTTGTCGAGCCTGGGACTGTGATCCGCCAGCGACGGTGGACACAGTGATGGCGGCATTAAAGGGAAAACTCGCGATTTTTTACTTATAGTTTAAATATGTTCATTATGACATAAAATACATATTCACAAAGTTGTATCGCTATACATATGCTATATGTGCAGTTAGAAAGGAGAAAAAATATTGACTACTTCCTGTAGGTCGTGACGTTTTCTCCTGGTATTGCATGCCGGTATTTAAAATATAATCATTTAAAAGTCTTGGTCTTTAATCATACTTTAACGTAATCGTAAGCACGCTGATGACTAATTTTATATCTTATTACCATCCAATAATAAGAAAATAAACGAACAGACATGCAATTGTTTACATTCATGAGCTAAATTTTCTATATTTACCATGACCAGAGACCAACTTTCATAGAAGTTAACAACTGTAGGTTACAATTAGTTTTAATAGATTTAAAGCACCTGGCCTTCACATTCATATTATTTTGCACAACCATATATCTTAAGAACAGGAGAACAACAGAAAAGCAATAACTATCTCTTTATATAACTGCCAAGAAAAAAAGTTATAATTACCAAAAAATTTCCTGCGAAACAAGATGTTACAAAATGGTCCTCAACCACAACCTTGCTCTTGGTACATATTGGTATTTTATAAAAGTTTAAATGTACAACTGTATATAACGTACATATAAGTAACCTAAATAAATCCCATTTGGAGTGACCCTTAGAAAGTGTGAACCTACCAGACAGGTAACTATAGTAATGCTTGCTTCTTGTAAGTTTAAGTTGCAGATCCAAGTCTGTTACAATTCTTATTTTTTTAATGGATCCGGGAAACTATGTACATATGATGTAGGCATCTTCCATTACTTGGTCAGGTAGAACATCCATAAACTTGACAATTCATTTTAAAACTGAATAAAGATTATGACATGTCATGCTAGGACTAAGTACCTGGTAATGAGATATCCGTGGTTATTAGTTTTCAAGATGACAACTTGCTGAGAATTGATAGTCTGTTTTAAAAATCGATTAACTCATTTATCTAGACGAATAAACCTTTAATATTTTGGGAATATGCTTATTTATTTAGGATGAACATAATATCAAATTTTTATTTTTTTGCAAATTTTCCCTCAAACAAACTTCTAAAAAACTTAATATTTCAGAAGGTAGAAGACGAGATTCTTCCATACTTTTTATATATCATGTATATTCAGTCAAGGGTATAACTTAAATAAATTATTAGAAAAAAATAACATACATGTAGTTATTGTGGGCTAAAATATACAAAAACTGTGATAACACATGTATGTTACATGTTTCAAAGTGGCAATACACATCATTTGTTTTGTTAAAATGTTTGCAAGTTCTATTGATATTATTATTGTCTTTATGTAGACTAAACTGTAGAAAGATATAACAGTTCATAGTTTACCAATGATGCATAGTACACCTATGTTATTACAGAAAAAAATATGCCTATAATAACTAAAGGGTGTTAATACAGCTGCTCTACATCACTCCTTAGCATTTGCTCAGACATACATTATATATCATGCTTAATCACAATGTATTTTAATAATTCATTGTAAGAATTAATGATCAGAGCATGTAATAAGGTTCTGTGAAAGCTTCCAAGTAATTACGTATACCAAACTGTCTCATATAATACATCTAATAAGCTACATGCCTGTAATAACTAAGCCTTGATATTATAACTATGTGTAATCCCTTGAAATCCTTGTCTCATTGATTTACCCTGGTTGATTAAAAATGTTTTAATTTAATTTGAAAATTAATTATCACGGCTATGTATTAAGTTACTGCACAAAGTTTCAAGAATTCCCTAGTGCCCACCAAAAATAGAAATATTTATGATTATTTAACAAATAACAAACGTATGTCATTTGTATGTTACTACAGATGATGAAAATTTTAGAAACAAAGAGTAGACAACTCATGAAATTATCTGTTTAAACAACATGTATGTTATTTTCTCTAATAACTTATTTAAGTTATACCCTTGACTGACATAATGTTATGAAGTTTCCGTCTGTCATATGTTCATTGCCTTGACTTCATTTTCATGGTTCAGTGACTACTTTAAAAAAAATGGTAAGATTTTTAGTATTCTTAATTTCTCTCTTTTTATGAGTAATAGGATAACTATATTTGGTATGTGCATACCTTGCAAGGTCCCAATGGCTGTCAGACAGTTCTCACTTGACCTTGACCTTATTTCATGGATCAGTGAACATGGTGAACAAGGTTAAGTTTTCATGGTCATATCCATTTGATTTCTAAGGTACTATAAGCAATATTATTGCTGCAATAGGTCTACTATATATGGAATGATTGTAAGGTGTATATGTCCAACTGGGAGGTGTCATCTGACCATGACCTCATTTTCATAGTTCAGTGGTTAATGTTAATTTTTTTTAAGCGGGGGCATCATTTAGATCTGTGTCCCATGGACTCTCCCCATTTATTTTTAGATACATTTTATACAATTAAAAATTATGGCGGGAACGAGCAATTTCTTCATCCAAGTTTTCATCACAACCAAGTTAGACACAACAAGGTTGGTATGTAGTACTTTCTTTACTAGATTTAGTTGAGCGGACATTGGAAGTAGTACTATTTAAACATGCTATACTTATGATTTATTTTGTAGAATTGATAACCAAACAGTAAGAAAATAAATATGAGCTTTAGACGTGACCATCACCGTATATCAAGAAGTCATGACAGACATTCAAGAGGAAGCTATGATCATGAATGGAGTAGACATGCTTCACCTCCAAGAAGAGGGGAAATGGCCCCTAGCCATTACTTTGAAAGAGATATAAGGGATGAAATGATACAGGATGCTTATAATCAAAGATCAAATAGTCCTGCAGGATTCAATGAAGCTAATGATTGGCATGAATCCAGGAGTCCAGAAAATTTTTCTAATCAGAATTACAGACATGGATCAAGAAGTCCAGACCATCACATGAGACACAGTGATAGATCAGAATCAAGATCTAGAAGACATAATAGTTATATTGAACAAGACTATAGACAAGATGCAATTAGTCCAGATCATTACAATGAGCAGGAAAATAGACCCAGGTCAAGAAGTCCAGGACGGAACGATGAACATAACTATAGAGATAATGAGACTAGTCCAGATCTTTACAATGAACAGGAACATAGACCCAGGTCGAGAAGTCCTGATCATTACGTTGAACAAGACTATAGTCATGATGCAATAAGCCCAGAACGTTACAATGAACTAGAACATAGACCCAGGTCAAGAAGTCCTGGTCATTATGTTGAACATGACTATAGACATGATGTGATAAGCCCAGAACGTTACAATGAACAAGAAGATAGACCCAGTTCAAGAAGTCCTGGTCATTATGTTGAACAAGACTATAGACATGATGTGATAAGCCCAGAATGTTACAATGAACAGGAACATAGACCCAGGTCAAGAAGTCCTGGTCATTATGTTGAACAAGACTATAGACATGATGTGATAAGCCCAGAATGTTACAATGAACAAGAACATAGACCCAGGTTAAGAAGTCCTGTTCGTCATGATGAGATTAGTCCAGATCAATATAATGAGCAGGGACATAGACCAAGGTTTGGAAGTCCTGGTCAATACAATGAACATGACTATAGATTTCAGAGCAAAAGTCCAGAACCTTTTATTGAAAGAGACTATAGATCCAAATTCAGAAGTCCAGACAGGGGTTTTGAAGTAGACCGTAGACATTCTGTTAATAGCCAAGTAAGACACGGAGAACAAAACTTAAGCCATGATAGTCAGATTGAAGATTTTGATCCTAGAGACAAGGATGGTTATATCGTAAGAAACTCAAGAAATGAACCAGGAGTTCGGAGTCCTGAGCAATTTGTTGAGCCTGATAGTAGGCTTATTACAAACAGAGACTATAGACAGACTTCAAGGAGTTCAGATAGAGGCTTAGGTAAGAGAAGGGATTCTAGAAGCCCAAGACAGACCATAAGAAATCAAAGGCATTTGAGAAGCCCAAGAAGAGAAGTTAGGAATAGGAGGCATTCAAGAAGCCCTGCTATAACAAATACAAGGCAATCTATGAGTTCAGAGAGAAGATTAAGACTCAGACAGGATTCAAGAAGCCCAGATAGAGTTTCTAGGCAGGAGCTCACAAGACATTCTACAAGTCTCGAAAAACGCTTGGGCCCACCTGTAGATGAAAGAGACCATCTGGATGTAGATAGTGTATGGAATGACAGAGTTATTCATTCCAGAAGTCCAGCAATACTCAGAAGTGATAGAAGTCCAAGTAATGAACCTCATATTAGTTCATGGGGAAATGTCATTGAACATGAAGTTACCCAATGGAATAGACCCGAAAGTCCAGGTTTTTACACCAGACAATCAGATAGTCCCATGCGATTAAGGCAGGAATATGAAGACCCACAAATGGATAGTCCCATAAGAATAAGGCAGGAATATGAAGACCAAGAAATGGATAGTCCTATAAGAATGGTCCAGTTGTATGACGACCAACAAGGTGATAGTCCAAAAGGATTGGAAATTAATTTGAATAGTCCAATGAGAGTTGTATCCTGTCAGGGAGACGATATCATGGTGAATATAAACCAAAGTCCTAAAACTGGTAATAACAAAAGTAAAAGTCGTAAAAATAGTATACAGGACAATAGACTACATAGAATTTATCAAACCTCAGAGAAAAACAGAGAGGATAGAAATGATAGCAAACAAAACAATAATCATGGTAGACCGTCAAAAGGTAGAGAAACAAGACGAAGGGAACCAAATAGACTAAAAATTCCTCAGAATCAAAGGCAAAATAAAAGGGAAGGGAGCAATCAAAGATCTAGAAGTCCTCTTGGTAGCAGAGGTCGTAATAGGAGAATGAATGAAGATAGAAGATCCAGAAGCCCTAGAGAAGGTCAAATTAGAGATCAGAGAAGAACCAGAAGCCCTAGAGAAGGTCAAATTAGAGATCAGAGAAGATCCAGAACTCCTGGACAAAATGTTCATGAAAGAAATGAAACTGAGAGGGAAAGAAATCCTGGACAAAATGATAGTGGAAGAGACAGTAAATCAAGGAGCCTAAGTCGAAATAGGGAATTTCGGAGAGGTGATAATAGGCGGAGAAATACAAAGACCTCAACAGGTGATCGTAGATCATCTGATAGATATCACAAGAACAATAATAAAAGGGAGGTAACTCCTACACGTGAAAGGCAGGAATCTAGTAATGAAGAAGAGGTTGGTACAGACATTGATTTGAAGAATTTGAATGTAATGAAAACCATTGGATTAGGATCTCAGACAGCCCAGTGGGATATGGTTAGCCAGACTCCACCCTTGGACATGACCAGACCACCCATGACACCTGTACCATACAATGTTCCCCAACCAACTTTGCCATTAAATTCTTCAATAAACAACAGTCAACCTCCAATGATGAATTTAAACCCTAATTTCCAAAACATGCAGCAGGTTCGGATGCCTTTTGGAGCTAACGTATCAAATATGGTGCAAGTTCCATATCCTACAAATGTTGTCGGAGGTAATTTTCTGCCTGGAAGAATGCCCATGGTTAGTTCAACACAAAACATACAGAATGTCAGAATGTCTATGAATCCTAACATGTTAAATTTTCAACAGATGCGTGGACAAGCAAGGAATATTGGACATAACTTGTTAAGACATAGAAATCTGCAGAATCTTCAACAAGTGCGTTTAAATACTACAGTTAACCAACCTCAGTTTGGTTTTAATACAAGATTTAATCAAACACAGTCAAGGCCAGCTTTTAATAATACACAGAATACTACTGTTTATCCAGTGTCATCACATATAAATGCTACATTGAATCCAACACAGGCTAGGACACTTCCTCAGAATATGCCAGCCTTACAGCCAGTTTCAAAAAGTAACCCACAATTTGAACATTTGTCAACTTTAAAAACCACATTGGCAACTATATCAAGTACTTCTACAACAGTGACAAATACTGGTAGCAATCGTGAGATCAAGCCAGTATCATTTTCTATAAAAGCTAGTACAAACAATGCACCACCTTGGCAATTAGCAAAAACTTGTACTCACAATACCACACTTTTGCCTGTATCTAGTCGAAACTCTAGATTTTCACAAGCAGCACCTAAACTCACACTTGCTTCTTCATCAAGTACAGATAAGAGTATGGTTTTGTCCAACACTGCAATTCCTTCAAGGGCAAATATTCAGACTGTAACAGCCCAAAAAATGTCTGAAAAGGTGTCATCGGGAGCTTTGAATAAATCTGAAGAAAGTATTCTACAGGCTCAGTTACAGTACATAAGACAACAACAAGAAATTGGAGCTAACTTTGGTGTACAAAAATCTGCTGTATCCAATGAGAAAGAAGTGATAACCTCTAAGAACCAAACAAACAAGGAACCAAAATTTGAAAAAGATAGTAGTGAAAAATCGGCCATTATAAAAGAAAAGGGTCCTGTTTCATCTCTAACTTTATGGACCAGTCATTACCGACGGCAACAAAAAAATCAAAAGAGAAGTTCTAGGAGAAATTTCAACAGAGAACAAAGACGAGCAAAGAAAGAAAAGCCTGAAAACCAAAAAGGAGATACAGAATTAAGTATGAACCAAAAGATTGAAAACCAAGAAAATACGCTAAAGGATAAAATAAAATGTGATGAACTTAATGTAAATGAAAAGAAAGGGAACAAAAAGATCGTTAGTCAAAATGATGACAAAAAAGCTTTGAATCAAGAGATCAAAATGAAATATGTAACATCCCAAGTTATGCATCAGTCAAAAACTAATGATGATTCAGCAAAAAATTTGCCAAAGAGTGGTTTATGTTTTACAGAAAAGACAACTAAATGTCAAACACAGCAAATAAATAAAACGCCAATTAAAAATTTACCTGTGTCATTAGCAGGTAATAGTCAATCTTACTCTGCACAGAATAATACTATAAACGTCATAAAAACTCCTATTTCATGTAACAAAACTGGCTTAATTGGAATAAGTCATGGAAAATCTACCAATACTGGTCAAAGTTTTCCTGCAAGTGGGATGTATAATCAACCAAAGGTTTCTATTGGCAACCAGAGTAACTTTGTACATCCAGCCTCAGTGCCTCAGCCAGTTCCACCCCCTAGCATTCAAACTTTTGGAAATCATCTACAGAAAGTTTCACAGGCAAATGAACTAAACAGAGGAAAAGCTGTGAAGCAAGTTCAATCTGGTTATAAACAAGCTCCTGAAGTCGCAACACAATTAAAATTTAATACATTAAGAAAATTGGCTCAAGATACAAAATTGCTGAGTGAGCAGAAAAGTAGTGCAACTGGAACATCTGAATTAACAAGAATTGGATCTGTTAGCCAAGGAATTTCAAACGTCCATCGAAAGACTTTATTTTCTTCTGAAACTGAAACATCAGATTTTGATTATGAAGTAGATCCCGAAGGGTTGCGTACAACTTTATCTGTGGATCAGAACAAACTATCGCTAGTTAAAGACACATCTCAAATTACATCAATGACTGAAAAAAATGAAAACAATAGTAAAAAAGTAAATGATACCCAATTTAATGTAGAAGAGAAAATGATCGAAGATAAGACTGACAATGTAAATGTTGAACCGATGGATGAGGAACCAAGTTTGGCTTGTAAAATCAAACGACCTTCAGTTTGCCCCATACCAGAGTGTCAATTTGTAGCCTGGAGGTTAAAGAGACATGCATTTTCCAGTCATCTACCTTGGATTTTTCGGGATGAAAAATGGTCAGCGAATATTCCAGGATGTGGGGCAGCAATTCATCAGTTGGTCATATGGATACTTGGTGCACGATCAAAACCAGACGGACTAGTCATGATGCTAAATGAATCGGGTCTCATGCCGAAAAATGTTGAAATCAATCAAAATGATTTTTGTCACTTAAAAAAACTCTGTGAAGAACAGGACTGGCCTGTATTGGAAACATTCACTCTTCAACCAATAAACTCGCCTGCATGTCTTGTTCATTGGAGAGCCTTGCTATTATTATTGATATACATAAGTAAACCTAGACGTCAAAGATTCCGAGAAATGTTCAGTAAAAATTCTGCTGATGATGTGAATAGAAAGACAATGCAAGGTCAGCAAGCTGTTCTGAATAAGGACAGCTCAGTTCCAAAGCAAGGTAGAGTAAATGATGTCGGTAATGATAGAAAAGAAAGATCACCAGTTTCAAAAAGAGCAAGAGCTGAGCTTCCTGATAAAGGAAGGACAGAAAGGCAATTGGATGAAAGCAGATCTATGACAGGGTTTTCAGCTAACAAATCGAATGAACAAGCAAATAATAGGTTTTTAGACAGTGATCTTGGGTCAGTGAAGACTCCAATTGTTATTGATGGTGAAACAAAAGAACAGGGTGCAAAGGTCAGTGATTCCAGCAAATCAATAGGGAGAACTTCAAGTTCTAAATCAAATGATCAATCTAAAACAAATATGTCTACAAGTGGGGAATCCAAATCATCAGAAAATTTAAGGTCAAGGTCATCAAAAGGTGACCTAAAGTCAACTCCCAATAAAAGTGATTTCAGGTTAACATCATCTATAAATGTTGAAAGGAGAAGAAGAAGATCACCAAGAAGAGGTCGAAGTCGTTCCAGAGATAAAATAAGGACACCTGTTAGACAATTCAGAAATACATTAGGCTCACAAAGATCCACTCTAGACATAAAAGATGCTAAAAATTCTGCAAATTTGAGGTCAAGTAGAGTTGCTAGTGAAAACATTAAACAATCAGACGATTCATCTGAAGATGAAGCAAAAACAGCTTTAGAAATGTCAATCAGGTCAACTTTACTGGAATTAGAAAAATCCACTGAGGTAGCAAAAGCTGCAATAGCAAAACAGTCAATTACTGCAAAACAGTCTTTAACACAACAACCTTTGGTGGCAGCATTTGTAGGGCAATCTAGAACAAGCACAAAACATATGGAATCCAATGCTGATAACTCTCCTGTATTGAATTATAGATCTGTCCCTCAACAATCAGTAGCCAAAACAGGAACTGCATCAGAGCCTTTTTCTAAAAGGTCGGGTTTGGAGGCATCTATGTGGTCGACTTTGAAAGAATTACGGAAATCTTCGTTAGAAGGTCCTTTGAAGTTAAAGTTAGAAGACACTATGAAAACTGTCCTGGAAGAAATGTACAAATCAAAAATGGAAGATTTGAAGAAAAAGCCCCGAGTGGACACAGCTAATTCTTCCTCTTCGAATGAAATTAAGAAACACACATTTGGGGAACCATCGATGCTAAAGCAATCTGAAGATGATGCAAAGAGAGCAGAATTAGAATTCTCAATGAGAACTGCATTAGAACAATTCTGCACACTTTTAGATACTTCATCGGAAATGGTTGGGTCTTCAACAAAATTGACAGGATCCTCTGGAAAAACAGTTTCAAGTGTTAACCTATCTAGTACAACAATGTCAGATCAGAAAGGTAATAATCTGGTTAATCCAATGGAAGAAGTCCAGGGGAGATCCACTGGAAAATTGTATGGAGTTGTTCAGTATGCTCCATCTCCATCCTCAGATGAAGGGTCTGATTTTGAAGGCATGTCTGAGGAAAGTCCACTTTATTCCCCTTTGTCAATACCAGACATGAATGATGATCTTGAAATAAAGAGCAATAAGACGGTTGTAAGTGATGCAAACTCTGCTTCAAGTATACAGAAATCGTATGTAAAAGACTGGAATCATAAATCACCATGGGAGATATGGGGCGAAAAAATGTCAAAAGAAGCGACCAAGGTTCCAGACAAAACCCCTACCTCTAAATCAAAAGAAGATATGTGGGAATCTGTGAAATTATCTGGTGCTAAATTGAAATATTATCTACAGCAAGACCCACCAGTGGTGTTATACAAAGATGAAAAAGATGGAAAATGGAAAATTGCAGGAAATGAAAAAGAAGCTAAGAAACTGTTATCAATGGTTAGTGTGGGGTCAAAGCTCAGTCAGATCTGATTTAAGTGGTCACATTTTCTATTCATGAGTTGCCTTTTTTTTTTTAAGTTGTAAATATAAAAATGATATATGCTTCGTTTTCTGATTTTTCTTTATTGTTTATTTTCTGTTTCTTTGTAGACTAAGATGAAAACATTCATTTGTTGGTGGTTGTTTTTTTTTAACATTTTTAAAGTTTCTATGGGCATGATAGGTGAAGATTTACTTTAAGAAGCATTATGGGTAATTTCAATGTATGTTCACAAGATAAACATAATGTATAGTCAATGGCTAGATATTTAATGTGACACTTATTGTCAGAGACTATTTTGATGTACAACTTAACATTAGATAATATTTTGATAGTAAAACATGTTGAACATAGTAGAAGTTACACAATGCCGAAGTTAATTTAATGTACCTTGAAGACAGTGTTGTCTAACGGTGCAGAATACACTTATATGTGAAGAAGTTCACATAACATATTTCTTTCTTTTTTGCTCTTTTTATTAATAATAATATAAGTTATTCTTTATAGTTTTATTTTGCTTTTTTCCTTAGTTTATCATCCTTCATGTCTGTATGTATGTTTGAGATGCTATATGTATTCTGAAGAGCTTCATGAGTTAATGCTATAGAATGTCCACATGAATGACATGATTATTGCCAAAATAACTGAAGCGTGAATACAGCATATATATTATATCAGAAACATACTGCATTTAAAAAATATCAATAAATTTACACAAAAATTATGATAAATTGTATAGTACTATAAATAGAAACCTTGCACATTTTGCATACATATATCTTTGTAGTGTAAGTCATTGGAAGTCATGCTACTTCTTTTACACCTAGCATTAATGTAGATGTATATTGTGCATGGTACTCGTTTGCTGAAAAGGTTTCTCTAGTTTGTTCATATATATAGGCATCTTTCAAAAGAAAGTTTTTATTTTAGAGCAATGATATTTTTTTTATCAGAATTACCTTAAATTTGTATAACGATGTATTTCCATTGGATTATTTCAATACTTCATCATATAGGTATTTTTTTTTAAAAGAAGGCATATTTCAGAGAGGAATTGAGGGCAATAATATACTATTTATCAGAATTACCTGTTCCATTGGATTACAATGTGTTTATTGGTTTTTTATTGAACATTTAAAAAGAACTGCTTTGACCTCAAACAAGAAGTTCTGTTGACCTCTTAATCAGATTTGACTGAATGTTTGATTATAGTCTTTGATATTATCATTTATGTTGTGTAAAGTAGCTTCAGGTTTATATTCATATTTTAACACCTAATTGATGAGCATGATTGAAGGTATGTAAGTTGTGATTTGTGATAATACCTGAATGAAATTGTGATGGATTGTCTACAGGAAGTAGTGTCAGGATTGACAACGATCTTTAATAATACAATTTCATTCTGTCCATCAAGTCAACTTTTTTGGAATTAGAAAAATCCTTGGAGGTAGCGAAAGCTGCAATAGCAAAACAGTCAATAACTATGATGGCAACAACCTTTGGTTGCAGTATTTTTAGGGCAGTCTAGAACAAGTATGAGACAAACTCTTAAATCTAATGAACATTTACATTCTTGATGGGTAAAACTTAATTATTAAAATATTGGAAACATAACACACAGTTGATTTAAAAGTAAAAAGTTAATAAAAGTGTTGCAGGAAAATCATTTCTGCAGAAGTTTCCTGACCTTAGTAAGTATATATTAGAAAATAAATGAAAGGTCACACCAATTGTTTTTTAATATAGAAATTACTCTGGCCAAAAGTTGAAAGCTGGCAATCCCATAAAACTAACAATTATTAAATTAGACAACTCTTATGCAGTAATGAAAGAATTTCATCTTTTTAAATAACATAGAGTGTTATTTATTTCAGGGTGCCCCTCCAGGAGGTTATGGTGCTCCACCAGGTCAGCCAGGATATGGTGCTCCACCCCCAGGACAGCCAGGTTATGGTGCCCCACCCCCAGGACAGCCAGGTTACCCTGGAGGTCAGCCTGGATATCCTGGAGCTGCTCCACAGCCAGGCTATGGACAAGCACCTGGTAAGGAAAACATGATTCTGTAGTTTTTATTGGACGAGGAATTCCAAAAGTTATATGTTATTTCTGTATAAAATGCAACATCTATGACTGCATGTACACTCTGTGACAAGCTTCAGTCACTAACAAAGTTAAAACAACATATAGAAATGAAAAGGCTTGATTTAATTGTTATTTCATGGTTTAAGCATACAAATGTTATTAAAAGAATTGAATGCTTCTTTTTGTCAAGGTTGTAAAAGCATTGAATGTGAGATTATTTTCAGTTTAAAGCATGTCACCTCTACATTCAAAAGGTGCCTCAGTCAACGCCTTTATACCCAAATAAAAGTACAAAAAAAACCATTTAATTCTTAAAAGTTTTAAACCCTTATGATTATACTTGATGAAGCTAGCCATAATCCTTTATTGAATATTCATGAGGATAGTTTTAAAATACCATATCCCATCAAATGATTTAAGGTCTTAAAAGATCTATCCTTAAAACAAAAAAGTGCAAAATTCACTATCTTAATGATAAAATCTAATTGAAATTACCTAATTATGTGATGGATAGCTTTAAAATTTAGGTTATGAAATCAATTACTATTGTGGAAGGGGAGATAATTTAAAACTTTTTTTTTGTAGGAGGTTATGGAGCAGGACCTCCACCAGGAATAGACCCCAGTGTATACCAGTGGTTTTTAACTGTGGACCAAGACAAGAGTGGACATATCACAGCCCATGAGTTACAACAGGCTCTTGTAAATGGAAACTGGTCACATTTCAACCCAGAGACATGTAGACTAATGATAAGTAGGTCACTGTGGCCATATTTTGTGCAGAAACATGAATCTCACATGAGAAAATTTATTGTTTTTAGTCAAGTCTTAATTATAACCTCTCAAAATTTTTATCATTGCATGTGCATTTACTATGCTCAAATGGAGGTACAAATTTAAGTTACACTTGCTCAATAACTATAATTCCAATAATGGGTTACATAATCTAATTTAAATATTGTATGTAGTTCAGTGCATCAGAAATCATTTACACAACATAGAAGTTTTGCAGACCTGCCAACTATCCAGATTTATGGGGGATATCCCCCATGAGAGGTGTTGACCTAAACTTTGAAATTCTTTATTATATTTACTAAAGACCTCAAAACAGGCATTCAAATGAGTTAAAAGGATATTTAAGCTCATATATACTCATTCAAACAAACAATATAGTAGTAGACTAAGAACACTTATGACAATATAAGAGGAGCATAAGGTCTTGCGCTTAAAATCACCCATGGAGATTTTGAAAAGTTAGCATGTATGGTTTTGTGACACCCTGAAGTGGCAGAAATTTCACTTTTCATATCTATTTTATAAATAAATACACGAAACAGCATTGCAACTGGATACAGATTATTGAACAATGGTGGAAGCTTAATTAAGGTAATTCAATAAATTAAGGTAATTCAATGATGGCGGGGATAGTTTGATGATGGCGGAAGTCAATTTAACAATGCCAGAAGATACATGTAATTTAACGATGGAGATCCTTGATACTGTTAATCCCCCAGATAAATGATGTGCATTTATTTCATTAATACGTTGAAGTTTTCTACACACTAAAAAATACACTACAAGTATTTAACAAAATATCTTACTATTATAATTGATTGTAAGTTATACTGACATATTCAAACCTAAATATCTTTTTATTCACAACCATTGTTTCAGTTTATAAATCGTATGAATACATTTTTCAGGCATGTTTGATCGGGATAACACAGGAACTATACAGTTACATGAGTTCCAAGCCTTGTGGAATTATATCCAACAATGGAAGGGTGTGTTTGAGAGATTTGATGGTAATCGTTCTGGTTCCATAGAAGCACATGAGCTGATACAAGGTAGGTACCAGTATTACTAGTTGCATAAGGTTAACACTTTGATGGATAGCAAGAATCAGTAGATCCAATACTACAAAAGCTGTTTATATTAAAATAAGGAGATGTGGTTTGATTGTCAATGAGATAACTATCTGTCCAAACAGATGAGGATGAAAGTTATCATACAGCCATCAGAAGTGAGTTGAACCCAAACAATATAGTCAGCTTTAAAAGGGCTTGTCATGACAAAGGGTGAATCAATTCAAACGAGGAAACCAAAAGCCTTATTAATACTAAAAACAATAACAATAAACTGATATGATAGACAGTAACATATGACAACCACTGAATTACAGGCTTCTGACTTAGTACATGTAAACAGAATGTGGTGGGATTAAACATTTTTGTGAGTGCTCAACCCTCCCACTTACCTGTAACAGCAATGTATTAGCACAACATGGAATCAAACTTAAAAAATCAGTTGGCTCCACCACAACAAAAAACCTGAACAAAAAGAACCCCCAATACACAGTACCAATCTAAAAGGACTCGCAGTTACTGAAAGCTAGTTCAAAGCAAATATCAACTTATGAATAAACCATCTTTTCCTAGACTAAAATATCATTCAGAACACATCCAACAGATTTAGATCTAGACGTCATAATCAGTCTGAGGAAAGACATTGTGCCATGCCAAAATATAAGTATCGACAGGATCCTGATGTAAAACCCTAACTGTTAATAACTGTATAGCATGTTATGTTTTAATTTATTCAAAGCAAAAAAAATGTAGGTACGTATAAAGACAATATCAAAGACCCTACCACAGTGTTAATAACCTTTAAGCATAAATTTATTCAAAGGATCAATACTTTTACATGGATTGTTTCTAAAGTTGCAGAATCATTTAACAACATCATTGCAAAAATTAGGTTGTTATAAGGTCCAAATTTCCAAATTAAATCTTTTTATGAGTCACACTTGTTTTCAACACTTTTTAGCTCACCTGGCCCAAAGGGCAAATAGAGCTTTTCTCATCTCTTGGCGTCCGTTGTCCGTCGTCGTCGTCCGTCGTTGTCGATGTTAAATTTTTACATTTTGAACTTCTTCTAGAGAACCACTGAATGGAATGAAACCAAACATGGCATGAATGTTCCTTATGAGGTGCTGACCAAGTGTTGTTACTTTGTAGCCGATCCATCATCCAAGATGGCCGCAAGCGGGGGACTTAGTTTAACATAGGACCCTATGGGAAATACATACAAATGTCTTCTTTTAGAGAACCACTGAATAGAATGAAACCACACATAGCATGAATGTTCCTTATGAGGTGCTGACCAAGTGTTGTTACTTAGAAGCCTATCCATCATTCAAGATGGCTGCCAGCGGGGGACTTAGTTTAACATAGGACCCTATGGGAAATACATATAAATGTCTTCTTTTAGAGAACCACTGAGCGACACAGGCTCTTGAGAGCCTCTAGTTTCTGTAATTCCTAAATTTTGTTATTCATTCTTTTTCTTAATTATTAGGAAAAAATATTTAATCAATTTTCAATTTCATAAGGAGACCTAAGAAAATCCTTGTTTAAAAATGAATTATTTGAAAAATTAGGTTAATTGATTTCTATGAATTTTCGTTGTCATGATTTTGCTCAACATCTGAGGATGATAGTTTAAAATCACTTTGCGCTATGGTGAGTTTGACTTGGATCTTAATTGACTAGTTTTCCTGTCCAAGTTAGTGGTTCTCATCAGGCACTCTGGCTTCCTTCACCAATTAAAACTTGTTTCCTTGATATGGCCAAGAGTGTTGAAAATGGTGTTCAACACCATCAATCAATCAATCATTGTTATTCAACACAGCATTTTTCATGATTCTGAAGTAGTTTAAGGAGGCAGTGCACCAACCCAATGGGGCATTCTTGTCCAACACTTCAATAAAGTCGAACTTTAACAAATTTTACTCTTAATTTTATGATATTTGTTTCTTGCTCATGTAAGACAAACTGAACTGAACTGAACTGAAAAGATCTGATTTTGATCAGATTGACAGTTTCTATGCTAAAAACAGAATCAGTAATTCTAGGATTTTCTGTTTCACTTGTTAAAGTAAAAAATGCAATAACAAGGGGTAGAAAAATTTTTAAGCATTTTAAAATAAAGGATCATACGAATTTTCCTTTTTTTCAGCCTTCCAGCAGATGGGATATAACTTATCACCACAGTTTGGTCATATCGTTATTTCAAAATTTGATGTTAATGGTAGAAGATCGCTAACATTAGACAACTTTATCCAGTCATGTGTCATGCTAAAATCGTTAACAGATTCATTCAAAGAAAGAGATCAGCAGATGCAAGGAACCATTAGAATGGGCTACGAAGATTTTATGACAACTGCAATTTTCAACAAAGTTTAGACACAATTGTTATTTGGGTTTTCTTACTTCATATATTTTTAATGTGCTTGAATGAACAATAATGCATGAGATAGCTTATCTATCCTTGACCATATTACATATGGGCTTTAATAATTGACAATTTTTTATTGTATCAAGGGAGATAACAAATTTCACAGTGTACATCTTTGAAACAAATGAACTTGTCATTCATCATCAGACTTATTAATTGCAAAGAATAAAAATGACAATTTTTAACGTGTCTTCCATTGTTCAGGGAGATAACTATGCTTCTCAAATTGAGGAGCTTGTCATTCTTTGTGAAGCCATATCTCTGCTAAACAGAATGGTGAACTTCCTCACAAATGTACTCAAATTATGCATTTTGTTTCTTATTATAAGTAGACATTATGAACAGGAGGAAGTAATATCCTCAAAATCAAAGATGTCTGAAAGTGAAAGCATTAAAAGTCTGATGATGGAATGGCTTGAGATTCTGTTTCATCGACTGTTTCATCAGAGTTTTCAATACACTAATTTAACACATGGTTATATCAATTTTCAAATTTTTATGATATTTATATTTTACAATACTAAAGTGGTATGTTTAAAAGTAAATGTTGCATGTATATTTATTTGATATGTAAATGTTGGAAATATCTTCTCTGTAAGGCACTGTATACTGAAAGTCTAAAAATTGATAGTACAAGAAAAAAGGGAGGAATAGATATGGGAACTGGGAAAGATAGACAAAACTTGAAATTATTATGGTGAAAGGAGCAAGTAGAAGAAATATGTGAAAAGTAATATAAACATTTCTTGAAAAAAAACTTTTTGTTTGTAAATTTGAATTTTACGCTTTATGTACTTTAGAGATAGTGCTATTAGGTGTGTGAATCTTTTTTTATTTTCATATTTTTGTCAATAGCAGGATATAGTTTAACATTAATCTGTACTAACTGTCAATCACTGATAAAATCTTAGGTAGGGACAACCTGTATTTACTGCTTTCTGTCGCCAACAAAGTTACTTCCTCTGAAAGATCAACCTTGATTTTTCTGTTTTATTTCTCATAAAAAAGTTACTTCCCTATAAAAAAAAGGGTTTGTGAGTTTCCATTCTGTTTTGCTGAGCATGACGCTTCTTAAGCAAAAACTATGTATTTATGAATGCAATCAAATGTTATAACGAACAAAAATGTCATACTGATATTGGTGTATTAAAACATATCAATATGGTGGTATGAGGCTTGAATAAAATTTTACTAAGAATAACTTGTATAAAATATTACACATGATATTGATTTTTCTCAGAGCTTTTCTTCTATATGTGTAACATGTATGATTTGATGTATTTTTAATGTGCAGATTCCCTTCATGCATTTTATATGCATCTCATTACTGAGATAGAATAGACCCTGTACTAGGACTGTTCATTTTTAAGTCTGTTTTTTGTCTGTCTTCAACATCAGCAGTAGTTATTGGTGTTCACTACTCTGTTTCAAAATAACAAGCTTTTTAAAAGACTATTAGAAATTGATAGTATATGCATAAAGGAAGTGAAAAAGCAGAAAAAAATGAAGGGTTCGTGAGCTTGTTTTAGAGATATAAGCCATTGAAAATTTGGCAGGAATTGATTCTCTCTAGATTTTTCTTACATAAAGGAACATTGGCTCCTTTTTTCTTTCAAAAGGTATGAAAAAATAACAAGGATTTTTCAGGATTTTGAAATATGGCTTTTTAAACTATATGTAATAAAATTAAGAAAGAAAAGCAGGGGTTAGTAGGCAAAATTTTTAATGGCACTACATGGATAAAACCAGAGGATTCCGAATATCTGACAAAAATTGTGAAACAAGAAGAGCGAACATCCTTAACAAATTGTTTTGTAGCCAGAGAATATCTTCTACCAATCTGTATCAGTGTGAAATAAAAGAGGTTGAAATGCTAAATATCTTCATACATATGTATACTATATAAATGTTTTTGTCTGTATATCATTATGTGTTGTGTTGCCGCCTCTTAACTTTGCATGTACAGTAACATTACATTAAATCTTTGTTAAAGACTGATAATATTTCTTTTATTCAGTAACTTGTGCAAGGTCAGTTATTTATGCTTGGCTCTCCAGGTTTTCTCCATAAAATTAAATCGTGTTATATTTCTGTATATTTTGGTATGTACAAATGTATAGAAAGTAACTTGAAAACACAAAAATATGTCTATCAACTCATCCATTTTGCCCAAATCATTTTTGAAATACCTATGGTCCACACCAATAAAACTATACATGTACTTTGCATACTGTGGATTAATTTATTTTAGTGGCTTCCAATTTTCGTGGATTGAGGTACAATTGTATTTTTGCAGATATTTGGTTATGTAGTTTTGCCAAAGTCGGCATACAAACCAATAGAAGATTTGTACTTTGTTGAATAGTTTACCTATACCCACTAAAGTTGATTATATTGGTTATTTATGTCATTGGGTAGCTGTCTCATTAACATATTTCCTTCATTTCCTTTTATCTTATCTAGCAATCCTACATTCAGTCATTGACATTAAGCAGGTTCAACAAATCTACAGTTGAAGCTTATGTAGCTCTATTTGGCTATATTAGACCAAACTAGCTAAAGAATTATCTTCCTTTGAAATTTTTCATAAGAAATTTAAGTTTTTGCATTAATATTTTGAATGGCAATCTGAAACTTTTCAAGCATAGTTGACTTTGCCATAAAACCAGGTTCAACCCAACTTTTTTTCTTAAAATATCCTGTACCAAGTCAGGAATATGGCAGTTGTTATCAAATAGTCTGTTTCTATGTATATTGGCGTTTGTTTTTGTAGCAGTTCAGTGTTTATGTTGTTACATTGTTTTCCTAGTTGATGTGTTTCCCTCGGTTTTGGTTTGTGACCCGGATTTGTTTCAGTTAAATGGATTTATGACTATTGAACAGCGGTATACTACTGTTGACTTTATTTATGTGCACTTTCAAATATCACAGCCAGATTCAGCTTTTATAGATTCTATAAGTCGAACTATATAAGCTAGAATTCTAGATTTGCCTCAACTGATAAGGTTTAGTCTGTGGTTTAAGATTTTTAGACATCTAAAATTTTCTTTGTTAAACGGTCTTGGAAACATGGATATAAGGTTCTAAATGGTGAAAACACAGTATCCAAAGCAAAATTTGGAAACTACTTCTTTTCATTTTTGTCTCGCCTGGGACTTCTGGTGCAGAAATTGAGACAAAGGGATAGTTAAATTGTGGCAGCAGTGGTAGAGTTAACTAATTACTTAAAAGCTTAATATTTCAGAAGGTAGAAGACCTGGATGCTCCATACTTTGTATATACATGTATATGCCTTATGTTATGAAGTTTCTGTCTGTTATATGTCCATTGTCCATGATCTCATTTTCATGGTTCAGTGACCACTTATAAATAGAATTAACTTTTTTTGTAGTGTTAATATCTCTCTTAATGAGTAATATGATAACTATATTTGGTATGTGCATACCTCATGCCTGTCACAGTCTTCACAATAAACTTTTGAATCCACAAGCCCGAAGCTCAATTTTACCAAAATCTTAGTTGGTAGAGAAGAATTATACAAGCCCGAAAGCAATTTTACAAGCCTGGTCTGGTGGTCTTGTGGTTAAGAATGAAGACTGCTGTCAGACAGTTTTCACTTGACCTGGACCTCATTTCATGGATCAGTGAACAAGGTTAAGTTTGTGATCAAGTCCATATCACAGATACTATAAGCAATAGGTCTACTATTTTGGTCTATGTAATGATTGTAAGGAGTACATGTCCATCTGGCAGGTGTCATCTGACCTTGACCTCATGTTAATGGTTCATTGGACAATCTTTAGTTTTTGTGGATTGGTCTATTTCTCAGATATTATAAGCAATAGGTCAATTTTATTTGGTATATGGAATGATTGTAGGGTGTATTTGTCCTTGACCTCATTTTCATGGTTCATTGGTCAATGTTAAGTTTTCGTAATTTTGTCAGATTATCAGATAGTATAAGCAATAGGTCAACTGTATTTGGTGTACATGTCTGTCTGGCAGGGTTCATCAGACTGTGACCTCATTTTCATAGAACATTGATAATGTTAAGTTTATGTGATTCTTATAGTTAAACCCTCATATTACAGACTTTCAACATGAAATAAATGATAATTAAAACGGGCAAAACATTTCAGCGTGTGCACCGTTGTTCCATATTTTACTGATACATTGATTTAAGTTTTGGGCAAGTAACATTTAGAATCAGTCTAGGGCTACATTTTTCAGGCATCAATAACTCTGTCAAAACATTCACGGAATGTTACAAAACTTAGACAGAAGCTTCTCCATGATCAGGGGACTTGATGGACGAGTAGTCTAAGTATATCAACTACTGTAACACGAGCCTGTCAACGCTGAGGTTGTGAGATAGAACCCCAAACGTGGCATGTGCGTTCAACTCCAATCTTAACTGACTAGGATTGTGAGTTTTCCTGCCGAAGGTCGCTGGTTCTCTCCGAAGACTCCGGCTTCCTCCACCAATAAAAACTGACCACCATGAAATAGCCAATAGTGCTGAAAGTTGCGTTTAATTAATCAATTAATCTTCATGATCAAGAAATAACATCCTATAAAAATTCGATTGTTTCCCATTTTTATAGGACCGCAAAAATATTTTTTGGTCGTATATTGGTATGACGTTGTCGTCGTCGTCGTCGTCGTCGTCGTCGTCCGAAGACACATTAGTTTTTGCACTCTAACTTTAGTTTAAGTGAATGGATCTCCATGAAATTTTACCATAAGGTTCAATACCACAAAAGGAAGGATGAGATTGATTTTGGGGCTTATGGTACCAACAGTTAAGGAATTAGGGGCCAAAAATATGCATTTTTGTAACTTCCAGACATAACTTGTGTGTTAGTGTATGGATCTCTCTGACATTGTACCACAAGGTTCCATATCACAAAGGGAATGCTGGGATTGATTTTGGGGGTAATTGCCTCAAAATTTTAGGAATTAGGGGCAAAAAAAGGGGCAAAAAACAAGCATTTTTCTAGTTTCATGACAATAACTTGTGTGAAAGTGTATGGATCTTTCTGAAATTGTACTACAAGGTTCCATATCACAAAGGGAAAGATGGAATTGAGTTTTGGGGTAATTGCCCAAAACGTTTAGGAATAAGGGGCCAAAAATAAGCATTTTTCTAGTTTCCAGACAATAACTTGTGTTCAAGTTTATGGATCTCACTGAAATTGTACTGCAAGGTACCATTTCTCTAAGGGAAGGCTGGGATTGATTTTGGGGGTAATTGCCTCAAAATTTTAGGAATTAGGGGCCAAAAAGGGGCAAAAAACAAGCATTTTTCTAGTTTCAGGACAATAACTTGTGTGTTAGTGTATGGATCTTTATGAAATTGTACTACAAGGTTCCATGTCACAAAGGGAAAGCTGGGTTTGAGCTTGGGGGTAATTGCCTTAAATGTTTATGAATTTGGGGCCAAAAAGGGGCCAAAAAACAAGCATTTTACTAGTTTCCAGACAATATCTTGTGTTCAAGTGTATGGATCTCTCTGAAATTGTACTGCAAGGTACATTGTACCATACCACAAAGGGAAGGCTGGGATTGAGTTTGGGGGTGATGAATCATAAGGGGGTTCAAAAAATTTGGGGGGGGGGGGTTTCCTTTTTTTCCTTTTTTTTCTTTAAAATTTTCCATTTTAAATTGGTTATTTCTGATTTATATATAAAAGCAAATAATAATGATACGGTTTGAATAGGTAAATTGAAAATTTTTAAGTTCTTAGACCACATTCATTCTGTGTCAGAAACCTATGCTGTGTCAAATATTTAATCACAATCCAAATTCAGTGCTGTATTGTATCAAGCTTGAATGTTGTGTCCATATTTGCCCCAACTGTTCAGGGTTCGACCTCTGCGATCATATCAAGCTGCGCCCAGCGGAGCATTTTATTCCATATTTAACTGATAAATAGACTTAGTATTTTTGGCAAGTAACATTCAGTAAAAACAGTCTGCTGCTTTCAACATTACAGTTTTACACTGACAGCAGCAATATCAGTTGAAAGACAGGGATTCGTGAAACCTTTTCTATTTTTTGTCTCGCCTGTCACGAGAGTAGCAGAATGCGAAACATTGTGATTACTATTCGGCGGTGACCTGGATGCTTCATACCTTGTATGCAGATGCCTTATGTTATGAAGTTTCTGTTTGTCACATGTCAATTTTACTTAATCGCATTTCCATGGTTGAGCAAGTGCATGAAAAAAAAATAGGTTTTTTTTGTCATGTGAAATACCGGTACTCACTTCTTATAAGAAATAGGATAGCAATATTTAGTATATGGGGTCCTTGCGAGGTCTACATGTCCGTCGATCTCATTAACGCTCATTTCATGGATCGGTGATCAAGTTTAAGTTTATGTGGTCAAATCTATATCTCAGATAATAGAAGCAACAGGTCAACTTATTTGGTGTATGAAATAATTGTAAGGTGTGCATGTCCATTTGGCAGGTTTCATTTGACCATGACCTCATTTCTATGGTTGTTTGGTCAATGTCAAGGTTTTGTGGTTTGGTCGATTTCCCAGATACTACAAGCAACAGATCAGCTGTATTTGGTGTATGGTGTACATGTCTGTCTGGAAGGTTTCATCTGACATTGACCATTTTTCATAGTTTATTAGACACTTACATTTTTGTGGTTTAGTACAGGTTTCATATGGCATTGACGTTCATTGGACAATGTTAAGTTTTTCTGATTTGGTCTATTTCTCAAGTACTATAGGCAATATGGTCACTATATGTGGTGTATATCTTTCTGGTAGGTGTCATATGACCTTTATTAATATTGTATCTATAATGTGTTATAGATCAAATTTATTCGTTCAGTGTATGTTTACTTGTTTTTGTTTATATGTCTTTTTGATCGAGTTAAGTCATTTTAATTGATATTTTATAGTGTGTCTTTTTATGTTGTAATGTTACACTACTGTTTCAGGTTAAGGTGAAGGTTGGCGCCTGTTAAAACGTTTAAACCCGC